AATTTCATCTTTAAAAATTCTTAAATGATTAATGTGCAAGTTCTAAATTAAAAATTCTTTAAAAATTTTATATTTTATAATTCATATTTTTTCCATTCAAATATGTCAAAGTGCAGAAAAAGTTCTTGCTGTGCTTTCAAAAAAACAACAACAGATGTTTGTTAGAAAAGGCCTAATATTCTTAAATCATTTCAATAAAAACTATGATTCAAATAAAGAATATTTACATTCTGCAACCTGCTAAATGTTGACAAATCTAGGATTATTAAGTTATTTGTAATATTTCTGAAAATGTTCTTGATCTTGTCAGTTACAACTCTGACAACATCAAATTCTTTGTGATGTTGCCTTTTTTGTATTCGACATAAACAGAACAAACTGAAGTTCACAAGAACAAACTGAAAATCACCTAAAGTTGATCCTTTCCCATTAAAAAACCTTCAGTAGCAGAAAAAGATTTTTCAGTTAAAGTGAGTTAGCGCTGTTGCATTTAAAGATGGAGGATCAAATGCTATTTTAGCAACAAGAGGGGGTGACTTGGCTATTACAGAAAGTGCCTTTTCTGATAAATCAAAGACTGGTTTTGAAACAGTTTAATAAAGTTTGCCGGAAAATTAAGTCAATTTGACAAAGCACATAAATCTTTGTGAAGTTGCATGTACAACTATGGAGTTTGATATATCAAATGGCAATAAACAAAATAATAAATCTCAGTGCTCAGTCTTTTATTAATAACATTGTTGGATTGGTTGAACAAATCATTGACCGATATGATTCACCAGATGAAAATAAGATTAAAATAGGCAAATTAACAGAGACAAAAGACCTGTGTAAATATATTGAGTAGCCAAAACTCAAAGTAACCAAAAGTAACAAACAAAGCATAACTTTAAAAAAGAGCTTTGAAAACTAAACTATGTATAGCTAAGAATTTTTTATCAGAACTTTTTTGATCTGTTGATTTCGGTTGTGAACTAGTATACCCAAAATTTCTATTTATTTTGGTTTCGGCATATTTCCTATTATAGTAATATATATATATATATATATATATATATATATATATATATATATATATATATATATATATATATATATATATATATATATATATATATATATATATATGTATATATATATATATATATATATATATATATATATATATATATATATATATATATATATATATATATATATATATATATATATATATATATATATATATATATTAGGGTGTCCCAAAAACACACTTTTTTAAAAATTTCAATGTGCTCTTAACTGATCCCCATTCTATAGGTCCTAAATAGCTACTAAAATCTTTTTTTTAATTTTTTAATGACTAGAAGTGATAGATGTAAATTTTGAGTTTTACGGTTTTTAAAGATCAGCATCATTCCCTATGAACATTGTTAGCGATTGATATAATTCCCTCTGGACAATATTATTAGTTGGTATAATTCCCCATGGATTGGTTCACAAATAACTCCATTTAGAAATTTTTTTTTAAGGAAAAAATTTCTAAATGGAATTATTTGTACAAAAAGGAATTCTAATTTGTACACGAAGAAATTCTTGTGTAAATGGTTATAAAAGCCGTAACGGTAAACTTAGATAAAATATGATTCGAGAGGGAATAACAACTTCTTCATTTTGATGCGAGTGTAAAATTTAGTTTAAATTTAGTTAAAAAACTGATTATTTTGAAATTCATAAAAAAATAGGTAGAACAGCTAAAAAAAAAGAAGATAATGGGACAGAATAAGAAAAAAAAGAAAAATTCAGAGGGGTTGAGGTATATTTACCTATTGAAGTACCCATGATGGATTTACCTCAGAGACGGCTTTAATCTAATGGTGATATTCTAAGATACTATCAATTTATCCTTCGCAAGTCACAGGTTAAATACAAACCTACTTCTATTAATGTTGGTTGCAAATTGAAATCAAAATCCAAGGATCTTGTTTGTGAAAATAAGGTTTGTACAGATCCTGATAATTCTTGCTTGGTAACTATGATTAAAAAAATTTGGGATAGTGCTGGGTTTGGCAATTTCTGGGTAGAATATAAAGACAAAAATCATTAAACTTAATATAAAATACAAGAAAATGATAAAATTGTCTTTTCTAAACTGGAATAGCAGCCTTGATAAGCAATCAAAGTTATAGAGATTTTTTTTTACAGAATCCTATCAGCTTTTTAACATCTCGACTAAGAATTTTTAAAGATATTATTGCTGATAGATTGAGAACAGATAATGCCAAGCTGGTAGGTATAAAGTAAGTTCATTAAATTACACTTTTTTTAGTAGTGAGATTTTCTTTCCGATTTTAAGTAGCTTACGTAATAGCATATTATTTCCTTTAAAATATTTATGTTTAACTCTTTCCATGGTTTGATCATCTTCTAAAAAAAAATTCAAGTATGTAGAACTTGAAGGAGACTTAGAGTGGATTTCAATAACTAATCATGTTAAAGGCCAACGACATATTCTTCATTTTGATACTAAACTGTTGGAACAAATTACCACTGGGGTTAACATTATTCAAAACATTGAGCAACTTGCAGTCTCAGTGAGTTCCCCGGATGATGAAGCCATGGAAGACCATCTTTTAGGTGTTGTTCAATGTCCCTCTTCAAAGGGAGTTGACCAAGCAGAATAAGTGCACAATCTTTGAGAATATTATAGATGTAAAGATCAGATCATTGGTATATGCTGTGATACAACTACAAGCAATACAGGTAGAGTCAATGGAGCAGTCCAAATTCTAACACATATTTTGAAATTGCCAATGTTGTAGATAATATGTAGGAGACACATATATGAAGTACATGTATCTCACTAAATGGCTGCTCTTACTGGTGAGAAAACTCCAAGAAGAGCTCTTTATGTCAAGCTAAAGAACAAGTGGCCTGAAATCTGTGAGAAAGTTAATGAAGTGAAAAATTTATCTAAATTAGACTGGCAAAAAGATAATCTGAAGATTGGCTCTGTTCTTCGCACTATTGCAGAGGAAGCTAAGATATTTTTGACTAATGCAACTACTGATTTGTTTTCAAGGAATGATTATGATATTGTTTGGAAGCTTGCCTCCTTCTTCCTCGGAGCGGAAGTACAAGGTTTTAAGTTTCATCAACCTGGAGCTTGCCATGAGGCAAGGTTTTTAGTAGATGCGATCTGCTAAAAACCTTGCCTCACCAGCACATCTTTTTCTGTCAAGATATCAGTAATATCTTGACAGAAAAAGAAGTGCTGCAGTTAGAGGATGCAAGTTTGTTTATTGCAATTTGCTATGTTCCATGGTTTTTGAAAAGTGTTTTAGGATGTCTGGCTCCCTACAATGATTTAAAAGCTATCCAGACAGCCTATACTTTAATAAAACTCCATACATGGTACTTAACTCTGCAACTCTGTGTTTCGTCCTCTTGGGATAAAGAAGTTCCTTCTGAAACAAAGCTAAGAATACTGTTAGCTCTGATTGAGTTTGAAGAGCAAAATGAATTTCAGCATTGTAAACCATCAAATGTACAAATTGGAGAGATCACAGAGCGACCTGAGTTGATTTTCGAGCAAAACTACCTTGTCTTCAAACATTTTGTATTTTCATATTTATAAATATAAACTATCAAGTTAAATAGTATTGTATAAATCATTTTTAATTGTAAACAATTGGAAATGATTTATACGCATCTAACTGTTTTGTTTTAGTTTTCTAAAATGCAAAATATTGCGTTTTCTATTAATGTTAAGCCAGCTTAACATTAAAACAGTAAAACTCAAATTTTACATCTAGCACTTCCTGCCTAAATAAAACCGTCATATTTTTTTTTAAGGACTTATTTAGGTCACATAGAGTGGGAATCAGCAGAGAGCTTTTTTTTTTTTTTTTTTTTAGGACACCCTAATATATATATATATATATATATATATACATACCAAATAAGAGTAAGACCATAAATCAACATAACTTTTAAATAAAAAGTTAAATTTCTTTCAAATTATCAATGGAATGTCTGAAAATTTCAAAAGTAAAAACAAATTTTACTAAATCTAAAAAAATGACTGTCAATCGAGGTGATCCTATATATATTTGATAGGATTAAGGTCAAGACATTGCAAAAGCCATTCCATAAATTAAATTTTTTTGGACTTGAAAAAGTTCAAGTGTGCTTAGGGATAATGTCCTGTTAAAATATCTATCCTTGAAGCATTTTGCTTTCAGCACATGACAGAATAACACCCTTAATGATACCTTTATATATATTTTTGTCTTTTATATCATGAAATCCAGTTACAATTGCACACTACTGTATATATTGTTTAAGGGTAAAAATCATCCAAAAAAAATAATTTTTGACACCCTTACGTTTCAGAATTTGTTTATTTTTACACCACTTGCAGTCCATATCAAAAAAATAATAACTGCAAAAATTTTAGTTGAAAATGCCAATGGGTTCCAGAGATATCGTCAGTTGAAATAATGCTGACTCAGCATTTTAGTGATTTTCTGAAGTGACTACAAAGCAACTTTGACATACAGTATCTTCATAATGGCTTGGGAAAATTTCCTAAAATTTGGTACTCTAATAGATTTTAACTTGAAGAATCCAAAAATAGCACTCTTAAGACTCGATTATCTCAAGAAATGCCTCATTTATCCAATTTTGTTCAAAATTATTGACTTGTAAGTTCGTGATTTTTGGAGGTAAAATAAAGACTGTGGCCCAAAATCCCGAGTAAAAATTTTAATTGTATATCATTATTTCATCTTAGGTCTACTGAAAAAAATTAGATTCATCAATCTAATAAATGATCAAAATTTGCATTTAAAAATGGTGTCTTTTTAGAAAAATTTAAATTTTGTAACAAAAGCAATTAAAATATTTTTTTAAACATTTATTTGAATAAAACACAAAATAGTGTTATTTATTGACTAGTTTAAATTTAAATAAACATTTAAAGTCATGGGCCAAGGGAGATACCCTCCCTACCCACTGGAGGCCCCTCTGCCCCCTCCCCAAATCTCCCTAGATTTTTTTTTTTTTTTAAAATGAATAAATAATAGTTGATTGTTAAAATACATTTTAAGAACATATTTTTTCAGTTTAAGTTTGAGAAACGATTTATTTGCGTTACTTCAAATCGATAAATACTTTCTTCTTTTGAAAATAACTTAAAATAAATTCCATTTATCTTGGCTTTACAAAAGGAGTACATTAAGTTAACATCTAAAATCTGCCCAGTAGTTATTTGTTTTAGACTTTCTTGACATACTACTCTTTTAAAAGTCCCACCAATACCATCACAGGGGGATTTACCATGACTGGTAGCAAAAAATACCCATTCAGCATTTAAATCAAAGTCTTTACTGTGATGACAAAGATTGATAAAATTTTTAAAATTTTTAAATTGTGCTGCACAACCATCAGAAAAGTATTTCACACTTGATACATCAGGTAGATTTTCTTTGATATATCTAGTTATATCTTCCTGAGTCTTGTAAATAAATCCTGTGTCATGATCAACATCTTCTGAAAGGTAACAAAAAGATTTATGTTTGAGAAGTTTGTTCTCTATAAAATAAAGTACAACTGTATCAAGTGAGCATTGACTTTTGCTCCAGTGATAACTTTGAACCTCATCCTGAACAACATATTGATAGTTTTCAGCAAAATCTCCTAAAATTAAGCATTCGTTTTGGTTAAGATTTTCTTTACAGTTTTTTAAGTATCTACTTTGTGTTTTTGCAATATATGAATGAGTGGTAAGGTTGTCAATACTGTCACATAATAAATCAATAAATTCATCTAGTGGCAATGACTGTGAAAGTAGTGTTGTATGATCTGTACTCTGCCATTGCTTAAATACTACATCTTCTTCATGCTCATGGTCCATAAACTCCTGCACTAAAAAACTTTTTAACGCTTCAATACCAGGACATTGGTTACATCGATGCAACATACATTCTGCATTTTCAAGAGAGCAAACAATCAATGCCATGAAATCTTTATAACTTTTATAAAGATTCCACCTAATGGCATCAATGAGAAATTTTGTATTTTGGTGATGTATGCAAACACATACATTGTGGGTACCTGACGCATTAGTTGTAATACACCATTTAGGTTTAAGAGTACAAAACTTTGACAAACTGACTTTGACGTTAGGGTAGTTTTTTAAATGCAACATGTAATTCATTAAGATTGAGTAGCAATAATCTTTTTTGAACATGTTGGTTTTTCTTAATACTTACATAATCTTTTTTTCCTGACATCATTCTTGAAAATTCATCACTTTGATAAAAGTTAATCACTAAATTAACTGTTTCTGGTGAAAGTGGGTTTCCAGTTTTTTTACCGGGTAATGATAGAATTCCATTCTCATTTTTAACTTTTTTTGCTGTTCGAACAAGATACTCAGACACTTCAAAGTAGCTTGATATCTTTTTACGTGTCCATGATTTTGGTGCGAGTATTAACATTTGCACCTTATGGCGATAAGAGTCAGTCTCTGAAATTTTATTTTTTATTTCATACATTAAAATGTCTAGATCATGGTCATTGTTAATGTTGTTGTTTAAAATGGGGCTTTTTATTTCTGTTGTTAAAAAAGTTTCTTTAATATTATATGCTAATGAGACCATTTTTGCAACTCTGTCAATAGTGTTCTCAAACTTTTGTTTTGTTTCAGGCAATTTGCTGTGTTTTGAAAGACTTTTTAGTTTGACTGGTGAGATTCCAAGCAATTCTATAGTGGTATCTAACTTCATTTTTTTCTCACTTTTTGATTCCCATTCCTCCTGTAAATTTAAATCTTCATCAGTTTCTATTGCTTTTTTGTAACATTTACTGCAGAATTTCCAACCTGGGGTTACATAAACATTATTTTTTTGCAAATAGTTTGCCATGTCTATGGAAATCTTTATATTACCTAAAAAACAAATTTAGTTTTACGTTGTTAAAATAACTGAAATTATAAAACTTTTTATAAATAATAAAATGTTTTCTTTTAATTTCCATATCAATTCTGTTGTAAATAAGGTAAGATTACCTTTTATAGCAATTTTTTTACTTTCCTTGTGTGTTCCAAAAGGATTGCAACACTTTGTAATTTTTCTCTCAAAATATTTTCCATAGAATTGCTCATGATAACAACATATAATTCTTATTGAACAACATATAATTCTTATTATCCACGGGGCCTCCCGTGGGAGTGGAAGGTATCTCCCTTGGCCCATGACTATAAATGTCCTAAACTATTCAATAAATGACACTATTTGATGTTTTATTCAAATAAATGTTTTAAAAAATATTTTAATTGCTTTTGTTACAAAATTTAAATTTTTCTAAAAAGACACCATTTTTAAATGCAAATTTTGATCATTTATTAGAGAGACAATTGATGAATCTAATTTTTTCAGTAGACCTAAGATGAAATAATGATATACAATTAAAATTTTTACTCACGATTTTAGGCCACAGTCTTTATTTTACCTCCAAAAATCACTAACTTACAAGTCAATAATTTTGAACAAAATTGGATAAATGAGGCATTTCTTGAGATAATCAAGTCTTAAGAGTGCTATTTTTGGATTCCTCAAGTTAAAATCTATTAGAGTACCAAATTTTAGGAAATTTCCCCAAGCCATTATGAAGATACTGTATGTCAAAGTTGCTTTGTAGTCACTTCAGAAAATCACTAAAATGCTGAGTCAGCATTATTTCAAGTGACAATATCTATGGAACCCATTGGTATTTTTAACTAAAATTCTCGCAGTTATTATTTTTTTTGATATGGACTGCAAGTGGTGTAAAAATAAGCAAATTCTGAGACATAAGGGTGTCATGGTCTGGATGATTTCATATATTTTTACCCTTAAAATAAATGTTCTTCTGTTATTTATCATCATTATTTTTTACCTGAAGTTGGAAGATCTTATTTATATATGTTAAACATAATTAAATTAACTTTATTAGTCTTTATCAGCACTGCTTCTCATTTCATCAGTCATTATGTCTTTTTCAAAACTTTTAGTTGAAATGTTAAAGAATGTTCTTTTCCTGTTTCCAAGATCAAAAATAAATTTTGAATCTCGGAAATAAGACATTAACATTCTTGACTTTAAGCAACATCTGAGTAAACAAGATGCTGTTGAAAAATGCTGTTGTGATTTAGTTTGGACTTATGTTGGTATAAGAAGCTTAATATTTATTGCTGAAAATGTTTACACTTCTCAGCACTTCAAATTTACTGATGTGGGAGAAATAGTTTTAAGACCTTTAAAAAGTTTATCAAAATATTCAATGTAGCTTTGCTTGATTCAAAAAAAGACATTTTCACTATATTGATTATCTGTATGTACTAGTAAAAACATAAAAGATAAAATTAAAAAAATTTTTGAAAGCTTACTGGATATAGATTCTTCATCTCCTTTCCATTGACTAAAGCAAATTTCATTTGTTAAAAAAAAAATTGCTAAAAAAAGGTAAAGTTAATAAACTAAAAAAAGAAGTTTTGACTAATTTAAAATAACCTGGTAATTGGAAAAAATTATATATATAAACTCTAAATGTTTCTAAATAAAGGAGAAAAACTAACTTTTATTAACTTAACATTGCTAAAACTTGTATTTGTAAATAAAATAATAATAAAAAGTTGCAAACTGCTACAGAATATTTTTCATGGTCAGTGTCACACAACAAAAACGCCAAATTTTATTTGATATTTTTTGTGTTAGTGACCATGGAAAATCAATATAAATCAAGTCAATAACTAGAACTCAAAGTTTCAATTAGTTGATATGTTAAAGTTTATAATAAAAAACAAAAATCATGATTTAATAATTTCAAAAACTTTAACAGATACTCATATGAAGCAAGATACATCATATGAAGCATATCAAGATACATCATATGAAGCTTATGGAGATATATTATGGAGATAGCTTATGGAATATCAGCATGCCAAACTTTATTGAAAGATATAGATATGTCAAGAGCAATAGCCCTAGCCTTCTAATGCACAATAAAATCTTTCAGTCACAGCAGTTAGCAAGTCAACCATATCGAGAAGATCAAAAACCATATTGATTTTCTGACAATAATTAATTGACTCAAGAGTGCATGTTAGCAATTTGTTGATAGACTGATTGGACGATAGTTGAAGGAGTCAGAATATTCTTAATTATATTAATATTAAAGAGAGTTCTAGTGAACACTTTTGTACACAACACAAAGCTGTAGAAAAAGTTAATTAAGATATGACTTTAGCAACTGAAGCATAACAGATTATATTTGAGAAATTTGTTTTAATGCTAAAATAGTAAAAAATTAAATAAATATTTTTTAAAATGAATTGGGATTTTTTTCAAATACTGAAGTTGTTATCGATGCCCATTTAGCTCTCTTAATGAGATTATATAAGATAAGACAAAATAAAAGTTATTAAATACATAATAAAAATATTCTTATAAGGTTTTTAAAACCTTTTTTTTTTATATCAAGTTGTATGATTTTTATAAAAATTGGCAAATTATATTTAGTTTAGAGAGACTAACTAGATTACAGTTTCTATTGTGCATTTAAGCACTTTCTGATGATACTCACAATCCAATATTAGACTTATTCAAAAATTTCATGTTACATACTTAATAAACATTGTTTAAGCCAAGAAAATCAACAACTTGTATAATTTTATTCATGGCTATACACTATTATCTAAACCAACTGAATATTTTTCAAAATAAAATGCTTACAATAATTCTGACAGTTCTCCCACTTCACCAACCTAATATAAAATATTACTTTGAAATACTTTGTATAAAAGTGATATTTAAAAACTATTGAATTTTTTCAATAATAAGTAACAACTATTAATTAATAAATTTAGTTATATAACTACAAATATAAAATAATTAACAAATATAAATTAAATAACAACAATATTAATCATAAATAAGAACAACAAACCAAAGCTAATATCAAATTTCTTGGTGTATGAAACTGATTCCAATTTCTTTCTGATACAAAACTCTCCATCATTTGTCGTCTTTAAAACATAAACAATTTGAAAAAAAAAAGTCAAAAACAAACAAACAAAAAAATTTTTTAATTTAACTTCATTGTTTAATGCAAACTTACAAAATTTCTAAAGTAGGTTCTTCTGAAAATACAAACTCATTCTCATTCATTGCTTTGATTTTTCATATAAAATTGATTTTAATACAAATTTTGAATTTTGAAATCTAAATTTAATATTATAATATTATAATAATGGGAATAAAACGAAACAGATTTGAAACATAGAAAAATGAAATATAAATAGAAAGCATAACTGAAATACGTAAAATGCAAGTTTAATAAAAAAAAACTTATTAACAAATGAGAATATGATAACAAACTGCTTCAGCTTTCTTGAATCGAATATCTATTTTACATAGCATTGACTTAATTTTATTATTTTAAAGAGTTTTTAATGTTAACTTATGTTCTTAAGTTTAGGACCTAAGTCACAAGGCTTAAGTCTATGCAGTCTTGGAGGAGATCTCTATAATAAAATTAAGTTGACCAAAAAAAAAAGTATTCAAGATACAAATATTAGATTTTAAATTAAAAGCTAATAACAAAATAAAGTTTAGCGTTGACATTGGCACATAGTATTAGATATATTACCATTATACTGTATAATTTATACACCAATAATACTTATGTCACATTTAGATCAAGTTTGAACTTTCGTGCTTAGGAGACGTAAATTATTTGATTATTGATAATTACAGGCCCGTAGCAACCGGGTGGGCAGCAGGGGCATTTGCCTCTCCCCCCCCCCCCCCCCAATAATTTTTCAAATAAATAATTTTATAGAAATGGACTGAAAAAAAAATTGGAAAAAAAAAGAGGTCCTTAAAACTATTTTGGGGTAGAACTGCCTCCCCCAATATCCTAAGGCCCTGAATTACCAGGCCAGAATTCACTTTTACTGGACAAAATTCATAACTGATTTATAATAAGGCATATTTTTACTGAAATTAGCACGACTACTAATATCGTGTCTGCGCTTCTTACGAAGGTATTATTTTTTAGTTCGTTGCTATGGATACCTAACTTTGCAGAACAACAACGTGTTTTTGTTATTTACCAGTGCTACATTCACAAAATTTGAACACACAAGAAGAAGACAAAACCACCAGAAGTAAAAGATCATTTATCCACAATGAGTCCGAAAAAGAGCGCAGGTTTAAACAGCATTCCCACAAATATACTTTTCTTAGCATCAAAAGAACTATCTTATTTTATCATCTATCAAAAAAAGTTATCTAATAACAACTAATGAGTCGTTATTAGATAACGGAACATATCCTGACCTATTTAAAATTGCAAGAGTTATTCCAATCTAAAAAAAAAAAAAAAGCTCAAACACAAGTCATCTTAACTACCGACCAATGTCACTACTATCCGATATCTTTAAATAACTGGAGTATAAGAAATTAGAAAGTTTTATAAACCAGAGCAATTGTCTATACAAGCTTCAGTTTGGATTTCTAAAAAAACTAATCAAGTACTCATAGATATGACCGAAACTATGCGCGAAGCTTTAGACAATAACACATTTACTTATGGGTTTTTTATTGGCTTACAGAAGGCATTTGATACTGTTGATCACAGAATTCTGTTATCAAAGTTACATAATTATGGTATTAGAAGAATTGCTCACTCGTGGTTTAAGTCATACCTTTTGAATCGTTCTCAATTTGTTATAGTTTCAGATATCTCTTCTGGTACCAAATCAATATTTTTGGGTGTTCCCCAAGGTTCCATTCTTGACCCTCTCCTTTTTCTTATCTAAATTAATGACCTAACACATGCACTAAGATCTCAAAAACATATCCTTTTGATGATAACACTTATGCCCTAATAATTGAAAAATCACTTAACTTAATAAATCTTTACCTTAATTACGACTTGGTCTGCTTAATTCAATGTTTAAGATTCAATACAATATCCCTAAAGGCTGCAAAAACTGAAATAATTTTATTTAAACCACATCCATAATATTTTTGAGAAAAATAAATTTTAGAATCAGTGGCCAAAAATTAAAGTCTTGTTAGTCAAATAAAGTATTTAAGAATAATGTAAAGTTGAGTATCCACTTTTCCGTTTTTTCATGGGAATGGTAAACGGAAAGGAAAAATTATCACATCGGCATGGGTATTTTAAGTTGGGATGCGCCAAACGTTTGGCAAAACCGAATGTTCGGCTGTTTTGCCGAACGTTCAGTTTGAACTTTGGCAATAGTTCGGCCAAACATGCATAAATTGTAAAATTTGGAAAATACCATATGTTTTTTTAGATTAGACTTCAAGTTTAACTCATTTGTACCGTATCTGATAACTACGGTAAAATAAGTTAAATTTTAATATAAAATCCAATTATTTATTTTATTATATTAATATTAATTTTTTAATTTAAACATCAAGTGCATATAAATAAGTACAAGATCCATAGATAAAATTAAATAAAGAGTAAATAATAAAGTACATATACAGTCATCTACTACAACTCATCATTTTTATAGTCTTAATATTCTGTTAACCGAACCAACAGTGAAATTTCTTTACAAAACTAGCTGCTTCGTGTATTAATTCCTCCTCTGTCATTTTTTAGCAGTTCCAAAAAAAGTTAAAGGTTTCTAAAGAAATCTGTTTTATGGCTAAAAAAGAACTGTAAGCCCTATAAAAATATTATCCGATATTACATAAAAAATTTACTTTCGGAATTGGTATTTCAAGGGATTCGCCTACCTCACTCATTTTACTCACATCGTTATCGTGGAATTGTTTTCTGCTATCGCTCTTAAACAACTTAATTTCTATATCAAGGCTAGATGCAACGAGCTTAGCTTCATTCAACATTGCTTTTCAACTGTCACGAACAGCTACTAATTGTGAGAGTAAGCTTTCTATATTTGATATCTCTATCTCTAAAGTCGCGTTACTGGCTTGAATAACTTTGTTTCAAATTATATTAGGAACTAATATTCTAAGCCACACGAATCTCATTTCTAGTTTTTGGAGTGAAATTTAGCTGAAGCAAGTCTAAAAAAGCCAGCTTTACTCCTAGAAAATGAGCTACAAATGGTTTAACACTCTCTATTCGGTCTGAGCACCAGGTGCCAGATATGTCATGAAGGGAACAACAAAATTCATGGCGAACTAAGTAACGAAAAAAAAATGTTGTTTGCTTAACACATGTTAAGCAAACCGCATTTACTAAGCTCTTATAGGCCCTGGTGTGGCACACCAGGTTGCACCCCCTCTCTAGAGCCTGGTTTTCCCTTCAAGTTCAACAACTAATGTTTATATTTAAAATTAACAATAGTTCGGTTGCCGAACCGTTCGGAGTTTGGCAAAATATCATGGCCGAACGTTCGGATTCGGTGTTAGGCCAAAAATCGGATTCGGTGCATCCCTAATTATAAGTTTGAATTTGTCCGAAGATAAACTACGCATGCTCAAATGCTTATTTTTACCTTTCCTACCCCGTTCCCGTAGAAAAACGGATGAGTGGAAACTCACCTTTAGTTGAAAACATTTCCTTCACACACCAACTGAACCAGACTGCACTTAAACTCATCCGTGCAAATGAAATATTGGTAAAGATCAAGCATTTTGTTAGCTACTAGGCACTCATAAATATTATTATACTATATTTAACTCGTATATGCTTTATGGTTGTCAGATATGGGGGCAAAATTATTCAAAGTATACAAAGATTATTAAAAACCTCCAAAACAAACCACTTAAAGAAGTTCATTTCCAATCTATTAGATTCAACTCTTCTACAACCCTCTAAAATCTTCTACAATTTCTCAAAAATTATGAAGCCAAAAGATCTAGTATTCCTATTAATTTCCACATTTATATGGGACAGTTTGCATAATAACTTAGCAATAAGCTTTGATATTTATAACAAATTTGTTAATAAAAGGCATTACCATAATCTTAGATCAGCATCGTGTAACAACCTTGTAATACCTTTAAAACAAACACTTAAGTATGGCATTAATTCCATTAAATATTATTCCATTAAATCATGGAATTATCTTCCTATTGAAATCAAGACAATGTATCTAAAAAAAGGAAGTAGAGCTCTCTTCATCAACAAAATCAAGGAATTTATCTATGATAAAAATATTAAGTAAAATTTCTGCTGTGTTATTTATCTTCATGTCGTTTTGACCTTATCCTTTATACATGTAAAATTCAAGTTGTTTTTGCCTTTTTTTTTTTTTTTTAAACAACATGCTCTTGCTGATGTTCCTGTTATTGTATTGTTGTCGTTCTATTTAAGTGTCTGCTTTTTATTAAGTTTAGTTTTTTTTTGTGCGTGTGTGTGTTTTTAACTTTTTTAAATTATTTTTAGTGTTATTGTTTTTTTTTTGTTGTACTTTTTTTTTTTCGTTGTTTTTTTATTAATATGTTATTATTATTATTCTAATATTCCTGATATTATTCTTTATGTACTTGTAATATGTTATATACTTTGTTAAACTCATAGGGAATATTTATCACATTTTTTTTAGTTAAGTAATTGTTTGTGACTGATTCTAACTTTGTATTTATTTGTGAATGAGGATACAGTTTTAAAACTCAGTTTTATGGTTCTGAGGCCAGCTGGTAGTCAGGTTTGCGGTAGCTCTTAGAAAGGGTGGTTCCATTAGCAGCTGTAAAATATCAGAGTACTATCAAAACCTTTTCTCGCATAGATGATGTTTCTGTTCTTACTTTTGGTGAGCATTGTTGAGGCCACAATTGGAGCCCTTTGTTACAGCTTAGGTTTTATTAGTAATAATGAGGCAACTGCTTGGATTATTAGTTAGTGTACTGAGTGCTATCTGTGCTTTGAGTCAATTTCTTTAACCAATTCAAAAAATGGCTATATATAAAATGACTATAATAAAGTTAAAAACTATAAAACACAAAAAACCATAGTTATCACCAAGTTCTTTAAATCTATCCTTCACTAATATTTGTGGTCTTCGAAATAAATTTTCTTCTGTTGAATCTTATCTCTTGTAAAGTTCATCAGACCAGATAAAAGCTTAGCATTTAAAAAACTCACTAGTAAAGAACTTGATGATTCAATAAAAAAATTAAATAAAAATAAAGCAACAGGCTATGATGCTATTTCAGTAAACATAATCAAAGACTGCTACGAACTTATTAAAGATGTTTTATTAGATATTTTTAACAAATCGCTTAAAACAGGTGTTTTTCCAGATAAAATGAAAGTTGCAATTATTACACCCATTTTTAAATCAGGAGATGAAAGTCTGGTTACAAATTATCGACCTATATCGGTATTACCTGTATTTTCAAAAATCCTCGAACGTATCATGTATAATAGGATATTTGCATTTTTGTATGATAACAATCTTCTTTATTGGAACCAATATGGTTTTCGATCAAATTACTCAACGGAACATGCACTTATGCAACTTGTTGATGTTATCAGTGAAGCATCTTCTCATAACAAGTTCACCTTAGGTATATTCCTAGACTTGTCAAAAGCATTTGACACCGTTAATCATCAGATTTTATTAGAAAAACTAAAATATTATGGAATAAGCCACGAATACCATAAATGGTTTACCAGTTACTTAACTGATCGAAAGCAGTTTATTTCTCTTAATGATGGCTTTCAGACAAACAAACTTAAAATATCATGTGGGGTTCCACAAGGCTCCATCTTAGGTCCGTTGCTATTCTTAATCTATGTCAAC